TGCTTCCCTCCTAACACTTTGAATATATTTTCCCATTCTTTCCTTGCCCGCATTGTTTCTGGTGAGAGATCTGCTGTTAGCCTGATGGGATGCCCTTTGTAGGTAACTTGATGTTGCCAATCTTAGTATCTTGTCTTTGTTTGTGGTTTTGGTCAACCTGGCTATAATGTGTCTTGGAGAAGATCTTCTTGGGTTGATTCTATTTGGGGTCCTTTGTATTTCTTGCGACTGGATCTTTGAATGCCTCTCTAGGTTTGGAAAGTTTTCTTGCAGGATTTCATGGAATAGATTATCAATGCCCTTATGGGTCTCTTCACCTTCTGGAATGCCAATTATCCGGATGTTTGGACATTTGATGGTATCTAGTCCTTCTCGTATATTATTCTCAAATTTTTGGGCCATTTTCTCAGTGTTTGTGGTGGATTTTTCTAGGCCAGCCATTTTCTCTTTTACATCTTAGATTCTATTTTCTGTATGATCTAGTCTGCTTTTAATACTTTCAGGGGAGATTTTGACTTCCTGTATTATAAACTCCATTTCTAAGAGTTCCATTTGACTCTTTTGTAAAGTGTGTAATTCCTCTTTTAGATCTTGCAAGAATTTCCTCACCTCCTGGAACTCGTCAACTTCTTTCTCCTTTCTCTTTAGCAGTTCATTGTCTCTCTTCTCTTCCATCTCAGTTAGCTTTGCCATTATGAATGTTCTAAATTCTTTATCAGACATTTCCATGATTTGCCTTGAACTGCTTGTGGATGAAGAGGAGTTATTCTTTTGTCTTGGAGGAGAGGTATTTTCTTGCTTTCCCATATTTCTTGTGGTCCTATGATGATTTCTTGTCATCTGATGGATGTTGTGTTTCTTTCAAATTCTTGAAGTTCAATCTGAGTGTTCAGGAGCAAGCAGAAAGAGGTGATCTGGAATCTCTTTGCTGTTCTGTTGTGATCACTGGTGCAGCAGATTCAGTAGATATTGAGGAATATGTTAACGCTAATAGTATTTCAATGTTTAGCTACAGTGCCCTTAGATCCATCACGCTAGCTTTGTTTGCTGGAGGCTGAATTATCAGTAGAAAATCTTCATTTTTTTTGTCCCCTGAAATGACTACTTTGCAGGAGCCATGAGGAATCCTCTTCTGAAGGAAGGCCTCAACTCTCGTGCCATGCTAGGTTTGCTGGAGGCTGAATAAGCAGTAGAAAATCTTCATTTCTCCTGTCCTCTGAAATGACTACTTTGCCCAGAGATAGTCTTAAAGAACATAGAAAAAATAATCCTTAGGGACGAGCAGATTGTGTAAGGTTATGTTACTGGATTGTACATAGTTGACCATGGTTTGACCCCCATACCCAGTGACTTAAAACTCATGCCAAAGGGTCGGCAGGTGGCACGGTGGTTAAGGGCATTGTACTCCCACATGGCCAACCATAGTTTGAGTCCTGGACCTCACATTGCCTCACTTTCTCTCTCTCACTATGCCCCTCTCTGGTCATATTTAAATAAATAAATATAAATAAAGCTGAATAAAATTATTCTGGGGAAAAAAATAACTCATGCCAAGCACATGTGCATGCATGCCCAGTAGCCTGAGAAGAGAATGGAGGAGAAGCAATTGTGGCATGGCCATCTGCCCTGGGAGAAGACTTCTCACTTTATGTCTCTATGTCTTGGTCTCTCTGAAAAATGCATGTGCTCTATAGCAAAAATCTCTCTAAAAATAATTTCAAAAATTATTATATTTGTCTGAAATTATAAACAATACTGCTAAAGCACTACAGTGCACAAAGAATGGGGTAGGAGGCATATTACTTCCTGACCCCAAATATAATTCAAAGTTGTTTTAGTCAAAACAGCATATTAGCACATAAACAAGTATTTAGACCAAGGGAAAAGAACAGAGAATAAAGAAAAAGATTCAGAACCCCCAAAACATTCAGTCAAAAGATTTTTGACAATGGGCACAAGACAATCCAGTGGGGAAAGAAACATCTCTTTCTAAATTCTGCTGAAAAACTAGACATCAACCCGCAGAAAAATGAAACTGGACTCCTAACATTAACAAAAGTCAACTGAAAAATTAATGAAATATTTCAATTATACAAATACTCATGGAAAATACAAGGGAAATTCTTGAAGACATCCAAGTATGCAAAGAGTTTTAGGAGAAGGCCCTTCAAAGCAAAAACTACAATTCCCCAAATAAATAGGATATCATCAGGCTATAAAGCTTCTGCACAGCAAAACAAATAATTAAAGTAAGAGACAAGTCTCTGAATAAGAGAATATTTTTTCATATTATATCTCAGATAAAGAATGGATAACCAGAATATAGAGTGAACTCAAGTAGCTTCCTCCCCCCAAAATTAAATAGTCAAGTTAAAAGATGATAAAATTATCTAAGCAGGAAATTCCAAGGAATATCCATGGAAAGCCAAAAATCACATGAGAAAATGCTCAACATCTCTTATCATAAGGGAGATGCAAGTTAAAACCACAATGTAATATCACCTAATCCCACTCAGAATGGCTAAGATTAATTAAAAAAAATAAAATAAAGAATGATAAATGCTGTCAAATTGTAGTAAAAAAGGGAACACTCCTAAACTCTTAGTGGAAATATAAATTAGTGCAGCCAGTGTGAAGAACAATATGGAGTTTCTTAAAAACCTAAAAATAGAACTAACATACGATCTAGCAGTTCCACTCCTGGGTATCTATGAAAAGGATAGGAATATACTCAGTCAGAAAAACACGTGCATATCCATATTTATTGCATCAGTATTCATAATTGCTAAGAAATGGAATCAACACAAATATCCAAAAACAGATGAATGGATTGAAAAGTATGGTACAGATATCCTATGGAATACTACTCAGCCACTAAATAAACGAATAAATAAATTGAAATAAAATTAAAACCTGGCATTTGATAGAAAGTGTATGAATATGGAAAATCTAATGATGAGTGTGGCAAGTCAGACTATAAAAGGAAGGTATTGTATGTCCCCATTCAATATATACTAAATTTCTGCACTCTGTTACAGAAACTGAAAAATTGGAAGTATCAGAGTCTGGAGAGCAACTGCAGATACTAGAGACACTGAGAGGGAGGGAAATGAGGTATCTGTTAGATATTTTTCTTTTCCTTTTTATACCTCATTCATGTTGGTGAATGTAGACAATGAAGCATTTATCAACAAAACTGCACTGGAGCTTTGTCCCGACAGGGGGGGACAGCCGAACGGGTTTCCTGAGTGAAGGAGTGAGAGCCAGGGCAAGCAGCGTAGTGTTACAGCACGGAGACGACAGTGTCGTCTGTTTATTGTGGGCAGCACGGTACAGCACAGAGATGACGCAGTGTCACAGCTCTTAAGGGTCGCGTCGTCTACTGTGAGCAGCACGGAGACGACACGGTATCACAG